CCGCGCTGAGCACCTGCCGGGCGCCGTCATGGGGGCGGAAGGGCCGGGAGCGACACGGGACCAGCATGCACTCACGTACCCGGCCCCGGCCCCCTGCCACGCTCCGTCAGGCCTTGCTTCTCCAACAGCTTCGAGGACAGCTCACCGACCCGTGCATTTTCTGCGTGGATGGCTTTCTGAATTTCCCGTATCTCCCTCCTTCTGGCCAGAGGAAGCTCTTCCGCTGTCTCTTCTGACTCAGGCTCACGTGCAACATCGTCATCGTCCCCGTCACAGACCTCAAAGTCATCCTCGTAGTCCTGCAGACACAGCAGACATGCACACAGGACAAAACGCACAGCTTACAGCCTGAGACAGGCGCGGTCCTCAGTATGGCTCAGGGCGACTTGTACAGCTCACAGATTCCCACCTCATCGCATCACAAGTCTGTATGAACTGCTGCGTTTGTTTTTCTGCATCTGTATAAACTCTACAGAACTACGTACACCGAGAGCTCTGAGTGAACAATAACATACAAACGCCTTTGTGCTGAGAATGGGAGTGTATGTGCACATATACATGTGTGCTACATGTATACTCCATGCAGACATACACATATATATGCATACACACGTGCACATATATGTACACATTTGATTGCGTTTGACTGCAGTGCACTAACAATAGCTTAAATAGAAAAACCACTTAATTACATCATATCGGTCAGCAATGGTAGACATATAGCAAACTTTTTATAGGTGCCAGACCTAAATCAAACAGCTATGGAGTATTGAGAGCAATAGAAAGAAAAAACAAAAAACTATTAAGTTACTGATTTTAGAACAAATTATCTTTAAGCTGAGAAAATTTTAAATTTTTATACCTACTTCAAAATCATCTTCAAAACTGGCTGCATATTCATCAGCTCCAGCATTTTCTAAGTCAGTGTCTTCCTTTTCAATTTCCTAGAGGTAGAAATCAAACATATAATTAAAATATTCAATCATAAGTTGACTCTTGCAAATTGGTTGGGAAAATACATGTTTTCTCAGATTCACTTGATGTTGCTAATTTTAAAATTCAAATATCTATAAAACGAACATAACCTAATTACAACTCCTAAAGAAATACCCTAACTTATAAGTATAGCCAGAAAGAGAAAACAGTGAACAATCATATTCTTTTGGGGAAACCTCTATAATTCTGGTGGCTAAAGAAAAAAGGTGTGGTACTTCCTTGGTGGCGCAGTGGTTAAGAATCCGCCTGCCAATGCAAGGGACACGGGTTCGAACCCTGGTCTGGGAAGACCCCACATGCCGCGGAGCGACTAAGCCCATGCGCCACAGCTACTAAGCCTGCGTTCTAGAGCACGCCAGCCACAGCTAATGAAGCCCGTGTGCCACAACTACTGCAGCCCGTGCACCTAGAGCCCGTGCTCCACAAAGAGAAGCCACCGCAATGAGAAGCCCGCACACCACAACGAAGAGTAGCCTCCACTCGCCACAACTAGAGAAAGCCCGCGCGCAGCAACGAAGACCCAACACAGCCAAAAAAGAAAACCAATGGAACAAAATTTTAAAAAGAGAAAAAGAGAGAAGGTATTATACAAATAACCCACAGACTGGCATTCAGCACTGTCTTCCCCACTGTGCCTCTCACCCATGATCACAGCCCGGCATCTGCAGTTAAGAACAGACACACTGACACATGTGCTCAAGCACACGCCAGCCAGGTCCCGTGTGGCCCACCACAGCTCCAGTGACCAGGACCAGCCCACAGCCCTGCCCCACGAGCAGGCAGATGGGCTGCTCTGCCCCTGGCCTGGCCATCGCTGACCACCGCCAGCCTCTGTTTTTCCCCTGAAGTCTGAGTAAGTCCTGCAGTGGACGTGTGCTCAGTCGTGCTCTGCAGGTTTGGGGAGCTGCACGTGTCACCCTCAGGCCGACCTGGTCTGGGTCTGAGGGATGAGGAAGAGGGTGCCAGGAAGACGGAGTAGAAGGACGTTCCAGGTCTCCAGGCCAGGAGGTGGCAGAAACGAAATACAGGTTCAGGAAACTCACACTTTCCCCCAAGGCTGTTCCTTCTCTTGTCCTCCTCTGCTCCCCCTCGCCCGATTTACTGGTGACATGGCACCTCCACCGCGCACAAGCCTACACACCAGGAGCCCGCCGGGACCCCGCATTCCCTGCCCGCCGGCCGGCCCTCCGCCCCAACCCTGCCACCCCCCAGCCTAGCCCCTACCATCCCTGCCGTGTCCCCTCTCGTGCCCTAGGAGTTCAGAGACAACCTTCTGAGCAGGAAATCTGATCACACCACACCTGCTTCATACCCACACGGCTCCCCAGCACCCGTGGTGGACACCCCAAGAACCACAAATTCAATCACCGAAGGGGCTTCCGTCCCATCCTAGAGGAAGAAAGAAAACATGCCTGGCGCCTGCAGGCAGGTCAGACTTGGGGAGGTGAGACCCACCCGCAGGCCTGCTGCAGAGGTGGGCACTGCTGATCTGCCCAGGGGCAAGGAGACGACTCACAGGCTTTCGGGTTTCAAACAGGATAGATGCTGGGGATGGAGGGAAGAGGGTGAGCCTGTGGAGTGTGGACCGTCCAGGGGGGGCCGACAAGCTCGGAGCTCAGGAAGGGGGCGGGAAGGGCTTCATCTTCTCTCCAGAACCTAGTGCCCTGCTGTGTGGTGACCAGTGCCAGGAAGTCAGTGATCTGAGCCACAGAGAAGCCAGCTGAGCCTCAAAGTGGACATTCGGTTCTGAGCCCGGGGATGAGGACGTGCCCCGCAGGCCCAGAGGACCAAAGAGCTGCCCCACGAGCAGGTGCTTTTGGCACATTGTCATACAAAGTCACCGTACGTTATGGTGAGTGACATGCCACGTGCACGGTACCAATAAACAGGACCCTGCTGATTGAGAAGAGAAACTAAGACAAACGTCATGCAGGAGTTTTAAGCAAAACTCATCACTCGGCAAGCAGCCAGGGCCTCACGGTGCCCAGGGCGCCCGTCAGGGGCAGACAGGAGGACGGTGCCAAGAAAGTGCTCCTCCACCTCCCACGGGGCCCCGAGCGGACAGCCTTCTGCTTCACCCCCAGTTTTGGAGAGAGTGCCTTGGCGTCACCAATGGCCTCTTACAGGAGGGGAGGGCCGTTTCCTTTGCCTCTGGTTTGGCTTTTGTTTTTGAAAATTATCTGCTACGTGGAATATGTTTCACTGACGATGGCCTGAACTGTGTCTCTGTGATGCCTCTGTTCAGTTTCTTCCATTCTCCCCAGACCTGTTTTCAACGCAGAGCAACAACGAGAAGGCTGAGGACGCATCCAGCCCATGCTCCTCAGGAAGCCGCACACCCGAGGGCAGCGCGGGGCAAGCATGCACCTCCCCCTCCGTCCTAACGTCCTGCTGCCTAAAAGGAGGAGGGTATCACCCCCAGGAAACACACCGCGAGAGCCGGGACACGAGTGACAGCACGCGTTGGGACAGAAGCAGAGACACGTCCTCTCCTTACCAAGGCCTCTTCGCTCCCTTGCCTCTGGGCCAGCTTCCACGCCGAGAGGCCCTCTTCGCGGCCGTGCTGGGGGACACAGCACAGCTGGCCAGCGCGGAGGGACGGAGGGAGGGTCCCAGGGCAGCCACAGGGCCCGGTCCTGGCTCAGAGGGGCACAGGCGGGGCGACTTCACACAGGAACTCAGCCTCTCTGGGCCTCGGTTTTCTCTTCCAAGAAATGGGGAGAACTGTGAACCTTCTTCCTCGTGCCAATGAGGCGGCAGGTAAGGCAGGAGAAGCTGGCCATCCTGCTGTGGCCACTGGCCCCAGAAAGGCACAGCTCTCAGACGTCACTGCTCAAAACCATTTGGTGCAAAAGAGTGGGGAGTGCACAGCGTATCACCATGAAGAAAATGAGCAGTTTTCCACGTGTCCATAAAATTATTCTGGCATATTGTGGGCTCTCCATAAATGCTGAAGAATGTTGATGCTATAAAATATATGACCCAATCATAAGCCAGAATGAGCTGCCAAACATCCTCAAAATCACTTCTGGGCTCTCTTAGGGGGAAAAGACATCACATATTTTGCTCCTTTGGCAAAAAAAAGAATGTAAAATGTCTCATTCACAATTTTTTATATTGGTTACATGTTGAAAGAATAATATTTCAGAAATGTTGGATTATATATGTTATTCAAATTAATTTTATATTTCTTTTTTAAGGTGACTACCAAAAGTTTAAAATTACAAATGTGGCTCACATTGTAAGTCTAGTGAACAATGCTAACACTTACCAAAAACATTGGGAGACAGAAGGAAAACATTAAAAACTATATATTTTCATCCAATAATTCCAGTTCAAGAAATTTAGGGCTTCCCTGGTGGCACAGTGGTTAAGAATCTGCCTGCCAATGCAGGGGACAAGGGTTCGAGCCCTGGTCCGGGAAGATCCCACATGCCGCGGAGCAGCTAAGCCCGTGTGCCACAACTACTGAGCCTGTTCTCTAAAGCCCGCGAGCCACAACTACTGAGCCCATGTACCACAACTACCAAAGCCCGTGGGCCTAGAGCCCATGCTCCACGACAAGAGAAGCCACCGCAGTGAGAAGCCTGCGCACCACAACAAAGAGTAGCCCCTGCTCGCCACAGCTAGAGAAAGCCCACGTGCAGCAACGAAGACCCAATGTAGCCAAAAATAAATAATAAAATAAAATAAATAAAAACCCTTCTCTAAAAAACAAAAAAAAAAAGAAAGAAAGAAATTTACCCTCAAAAAGTAGGAGGGAGATCTGTAACATTAGAACTGGAGAGGTTTCCACAACAAATTAGGAAAAACAGTATACGCTGCATGGGGTGTATGTATATATAAAACAGAAAAAAAGGCATTCAAATCCCCCAAATATATATATCAAAATAGGACTGTGAAAGATAATATAGAAAAAAAGATTATGTGGGAAGAATTATTTGTAAGGCTAACTTTTTTTTCTAAGGTGTGGCTACAGCTAGACAGTAAGGGATCCAACCACTGCCCAAAACTGAATGAATAAAACATCCTCACATCAAACAACACATGCTGCATGACCTGATTTATGAAAGATTACTGTGCTTTTGTGTATGTATATGGAATAAAGATCTGTAAAGACATGGCACAAGATACTAAGGACAGGTATCTCACAGGCCAGGGTTTCAGACAACTATCAGAGAAAGAAAACGATTGTTCTTCACAAGTAACAGAAGCCAAAATCTGCTTGCCACATTATCTAGAACAAGACAAAAACCTAGGAAGTGGTTTGATAATAATTTTAACACCATAGTATACAATTCTAGAGATACCAAATAATCATTATAAAGACTCTTCTGATGATAATTATGAAAATGGTATAAAAGATGAAGACTGGGAGTTGTGGTGTCCTGAGTGACACCGTATCACCGACACGTGCTTCTCGAGTATACACACACGCACAAGTGGTCCAGAACATGAAACAACTATGACACCTTATGACTTGCATGTGCTTCTCGAGTATACACACACATGTGCACAAACACGTGCTCGCACACCTAGTCCAGAACATGAAACAACTACGTAAGGAGCAGGGCCATGAGGGCGTCAGTGATAATAACAAATGTTTGACAGAATTCGCCAGTGAGGTCATCTGAGCCTGGGTCGCTTTGTGGAGAGATTTCTACATTAACACAATTTTGTTACTAACCACAGATCTACTCAGACTTTCTGTTTCTTCTTGAGGCAATTTCACCAATTTATATCTTCCAGGAATTTCCCTTTCATCTAAATTGTCTAATCTGTTAGCATGAAATGCTGTCATTCTATTAGTGAAAGTGGGTGCTAAAGTCTCAATCACTGTTGAATTTTCTATTTCTCCCTTTAATTCTGTCAGTTTTTGCTTCTCGTATTCTGTGTCTCTTTTGTGAGGTGCATGTTCGTTTATAATTGTCACATCTTCCTGCAAGCTAACTATTTTATTACTACCATACGTTCCTCCACCTCTAGTCCAGCCACTCAAGCTCTGTTACAGCTGCTGTTTGATGGTTTACCTTGTCCATCTTTTTACTTTTAATCCATTTGAGTCTTTTAGTCTAAAATGTATCTCTTATGTGCCTCCTGGAATAGCCAATCAAATAAGCCATCTGCAAACAAGGCCCGCCTCAGGGTCTGAGTCGCAGGACCACGCCCACTGCATAACAGAATCAGTGTGAAGTGTCTTACCTTCCTTCTGGAGTCTTTATCTTTCCCATTATTCCTCTCTAAATTCTCTGCATGCCTAGGAAGCAAATATGATCAAAATCAAAATTAATTTTAAACGAAGACTTGAAAATTAAAACATTGACATCCCAGTGAAGGCTCAGCAATTGATATGATTAAGAATGGCAGTAGTTTGGCATATTTGCAAAGCATGCTATGTTAGAGCTATGAATACTAAACCCTTTTTTAAATTACTTTTACTATTTCAGCAGTAGTACAAGATAGGAAACATCTTCAGTAGAGAGAGAAGAAACTATGTGTTTTAACAAACTTGTGTTTGTGTATGACTCTATATCCTTATAAGAGTTCTAGAATATTCCTGTAATTTTATTAGAGAATCTCCCAAATGTTATTTTGTGTTTAATATAATATTTGTATTTCCAAAAGAAAGATTTATCTTGAAATATGTTCTATTCTTTAATCATATTTTATATGTTTACCTGGGACCTAAAATAAAGGCTTTCAAAATTGCAAGTTGATTTTCAATTTTTGGAACTTACATTCATATCAATTCAATACAGCATATGTTTAAAAACATACAGAACCAAGCAAAAGCTTCACTGTGCATTCCAGCAGATCTGCAGTATAAAATCCAGGAATCTGCACCCCCAGGTTTAAGTACTAACTTTGTTCAAACTTCTAAGAATTTGGGCAAAAGGCATTTAACCTGAGTCTTCCTAATCTGCAAAAAAGAATTACCAAATATAGTTGTCACAAAGAACAAATTATAACGCAGAGCTCATATACAAAATGAGGGTTTACACACAAACTCTAATCTGTAATCTTCATGAACCACACAAAATAGGTATCATCCAAGCTTCACCAGAAAAGATGAGGCTCCAAAGGGCCACCCAACATCCCAGGGAAGATACAGATGTGCAGCCTGGCCAATGCCCTGGTCTTTGTCTGACTTGCAAACACTGGGCAGCGGGGGTCTGCGGGCGTGTCTGCGCTTAGTGTTTAGGGGAGGTGAACCACAGGCCAGTAAAAGGTGCCCAACAGCCCACCTGCAGACGCTCTCCCCTCGCAAAGCAGAGACTCCCAAGTGAATCGGTCCCCCAGGTGAGGGCAGACGGTCTAACGCTGCATGAGCAAGTATGTAAAAGGCAGAACAGGACTAATGATTCATTGATATAACAAGCTTCCAAGCTCCACGAGTACACCAAAAATACAATTTAGAGGGCTTGCATTGAGAGTAAATGAGGTGCATCTATAGTTTATTCTCACTTACTGGCCCTAATCAGGCCCAACAAGAAAAATTCATTTCGAAGCATTGTGTGAGAACTGTGTTGTAAACAGAATAAACAACCAAAGGACAAATATTCCTTACTCGCTTCCAGTCCCATCTCTCTTCGAACTTGCACCTCGATTTCTGCGTTCACCATTCTATCAAAAAAGTTCCATAACCATTAATTAGTATGTCATAATGAATTAACCATAATTAGTGAGCTCTGTAAAAGAAGTCATGGGCTCAAAATTTAATAACATCATCGTTGTTACAGGCATCTCTTAAAATAATGGTTTTTACAACCTCTCTTTAGTAAGTAAGGGACTTGACATAAGGGGGATGAATAAGGTACACCAAAAGGGGATGCGCCTTTCTCTGAGGGGGCTGATGCATCAGGAAATGGTACCTTGGCCTCCCTCCTCCTGTGCTCCTTCTTGCCCACGCTGCTTCGGGGCTTCTCCTCGTCCACATGGAAGCCTTCTTTATGGCGTTTTTCTTTATGCCTTTCTTCCCCTTCCTTGTCAGAGGATGAATTGCTTTTTTGTTTTGAATACTTCTCTCTTTTCTCCCTTGTGCTGCTTTTTTCTCGATGTTTCTTTTCTCTGTCTGGCTCTTTCTGCTTCCAGTGTTGTCTTTCACCTGCTTCTTTATAGAGCCAACACTTGAGAGGATTGTCTTTGCTGTCACCATACTGCAACTTTGGACGTGACATTGAAAAACACATGAGCGTATAAAACAGACGCCTGCTGTCTTATATACACATTACGGCAAACACAGGGGAAGACACAGAGCTGCCCTGGCTCTTGCTCCCCTGTCCTGCCGTGGGTACCTTCCCATACTCACCTGGCAATGGGAAAGGAAACCACGCAGACCCCCCCCCCGCCCCCCGACCCCCACACACGACAACAGACACCGCAGCCAGCAGCCTCGCCCTAAGGAGGAGCATCATCCCAATTCCTCTGCATGGCGGACACCGTGGCCCTTCCTGCCGCCCTCTCCTGGACTCCCCCGCATCCTGAGCGCTACCAACATGAGAGGCCCTCCTGAGAGAGCCATGTGCCTTGTCTGGAAGGACATCTGCTTCCGTGGGCGCACACTGCGCCTCTCTTCATGGCACACAGCTCACATGTCTGCCCCACCCGCAGGGAGATGGTTCAGCCATCCCTGCATCCCCCAAGCCTCCAGGGATGTCCAGGGACCACGGGTGCCGAGGCCACAAGGCGGCGAGCTGCGAGCTTACACAGTGGGTCGTGAGCGCCCGGTTCGGGGAGCATCAGCACCATGTCTCAGCAGGACCCAAACTGAACCGTCCTTCTCCGCTCACTCAGGGCCTCCCCCGCCTCTGTTCCCCGTGGTTCCACCCCCTCCAGCCCCCACCGGCTCTGCTCATGGCCACCAGGACAACCTTCCCAAAGAGAAACATGGAGAAGCTCCTCAGGTGTGAAGTTAGATTCCTGCACACCCATCACAGACTGAATTCGAAGGGAATTAAAGATTTACCGTTAAAAAATTATGAGGACCCAGAACAAAACACAGGCGACTCCTTACATGACAGCAGCGTGGGGAGGAGGGCTCTCCAAGCATCACAACAACAACAGAAATAGGGAA